TTGGGCTAGTATTCCAAAGGTCGTAGGTTCGAATCCCACCGTGGCCGGGCATATTTTTTCAAGCTCGCCAGGTGTGGATATACACTCAGAGTAACACCACAAATATTTAACTATTATTAGAAACTTCATAGCTGATTTAACTAATTGATTTGATAGATTGCTATATTAGTCCCGCTAAGAGCGGTCCGATGACTTTGACTTCGGAAAATAGATTTCCTTTATTTTTTGTGTGTTGAAAGGCATTGGTATACCAGTGTCCAAAATAAATTTATTTTTTTGAAAATTCTTTTTTATGGCTTCGCTAGACGCCGAAACTCATTTCACCCGTGCAGAGCTAATTTCAAGAAAAATCGAAGGTTGAATTTCGGTAAATTGTAGAGCCGCGCTGTGTCAAAACGCCTGACTATTTCCAAATTTCAACTAGATCAGCAAGTTAAGATACAATTCAGGTTCCCTGTTCCAAAAATAAGAGCATTTGAGTAAATTGTGAATAAACGATAACGACTTGACGGCACACCGGTTTTTGCTTCTTGTTCGGTCTACAAAATTACACTAAAATCGAAGACTGAGATCTCCAAATGGGGACCTAAAATTACGCTGAAATGTGCTTGGCTGTAATGATTTATACTTATTTTCAGAAGATCTGAAGAAAAACCTGCGGGTATCAATCTGTATTTGGCGCGAGTTAAGATTTTCTGGAGCTCATAATCAATGATTTTTGCATAATTTATAGCTAATTAACATATTTCTTGAGAGGCGCTAAAAGTAAACAATTTCTTTCTGACTAACATATCTCAGATGAAAGAAACTACCACAGCTAGTAAAACCCTTTTTGTAAATATAGTCGTAATGTTCTTTTCCTGACACGCTGAGAGAGCTTTGTTTTTTAATGTTATGCCACATTCATTCAGTCTGACCAGATTCATAAATGTCACGAACTTGTATATTTCAAAAATATACCAGAATTCAGAAAGACCGATTATTCTTTCCTTGATTCAGTTGATTGATTTAGTTGATTGATTTTAAAAAACTATAAGTATAATAGAACATTCCACGTGTTTCCATTCCCCCTAGGCCTAGAATCTTTATCAATATGTTCTATTTTTCTGTGGCGACGGCATAACAAAATACGACACAAAAATGTACATTCGAATTTAATATAGCCGTGTTTACACTACGAGCCTAGGCTGGCTTTGGAGTAGATTTTTGTAGTGTAAACGCACTTCGACCTGGCCTAGGTCAGGAAATCTGGGCCATCAGAACAAGTGTTCCACATTTCCTAACCTAAGCCAGGCCCAAAGTGCGTCACTACAAAAATCTAGTCCAAAGCTGAGCCAGGCTTAGGCTCGTAGTGTAAACACGGATTATGACCGACATTTCAGAATGTTATTTATGAAGTTTGAATTGAATTTACTTAACGCGAAATAAATACTAATAAATATAGGAATTTTATATGCTGGGTTAGTAAAAGAAAATGCATAATTTTAATTGTATGTAATTTCGATGAATACTATAAAAAAATTATACGCATTGTTTATATAAGACATATAAATTAGCTCACATTTTCACATTTATTACGACAGTAGCGACGTTTGTTTTAGCCATGTAACAGAATAAACTATAAGCATTCTGATCAGTTATTTAACAAAAATATCAAATTTGTGAATTTTAATTCACAAACTTTTGAAATTTATTCTCAGCTATGGAGCTCACGAATATATTTTTTTCAAAGAAAAATATTGAAATTCGATTGTTTATAAAATTGATATTTTTGTTAAATAACTGATCAGAATGCTTATAGTTTATTTTGTTACGTGGCTAAAACAAACGTCGCTACTATCGTAATAAATGTGAAAATGTTAGCTAATTTATATAAACAATGCGTATAACTTTTTTATAGTATTCATCGAAATTACATACAATTAAAATTATGCTTTTTCTTTTACTAACCCAGCATAGAAAATTCCTATTTTAGTATTTATTTCGCGTTAAGTAAATTCAATTCAAACTTCATAAATAACATTCTGATATGTCGATCATAAATTCGAATGTACATTTTTGTGTAGCAGTCGTACTTTGTTATGTCGTCGCCACAGAAAAATAGAACATATTGATAAAAATTCTAGGCCTAGGAAGAAGGAAAACACGTGGAATGTTCTATTATACTTATAGTTTTTTAAATCAATCAACTAAATCAATCAACTGAATCAAGGAAAGAATAATCGGTCTTTCTGAATTCTGGTATATTTTTGAAATATACAAGTTCGTGACATTTATGAATCTGGTCAGACTGAATGAATGTGGCATACTGACATTCAAAAACAAAGCTCTCTCAGCGTGTCAGGAAAAGAATATTACGACTATATTTACAAAAAGGGTTTTACTAGCTGTGGTAGTTTCTTTCATCTGAGATATGTTAGTCAGAAAGAAATTGTTTACTTTTAGCCCCTCTCAAGAAATATGTTAATTAGCTATAAATTATGCAAAAATCATTGATTATGAGCTCCAGAAAATCTTAACTCGCGCCAAATACAGATTGATACCCGCAGGTTTTTCTTCAGATCTTCTGAAAATAAGTATAAATCATTACAGCCAAGCACATTTCAGCGTAATTTTAGGTCCCCATTTGGAGATGTCAGGCTTCGATTTTAGTGTAATTTTGTAGACCGAACAAGAAGCAAAAAGCGGTGCTCCGTCAAGTTGGTGTCGTTTATTGACGATTTATTCAAATGCTCTTATTTTTTGGAACAGGAAACCTGAATTGTATCTTAACTTGCTGATGTAGTTGAAATTTGGAAATAGTCAGGCGTTTTGACTCAGCGCGGCTCTACAATTTACCAAAATTCAACCTTCGATTTTGCTTGAAAATAGCTCTGCACGGGTAAAATGAGTTTCGGCGTCTAGCGAAGCCATAAAAAAGAATTTTCAAAAAATTAATTTATTTTGGACACTTGTATACCAATGCCTTTCAACACACAAAAAATAAAGGAAATCTATTTTCCGAAGTCAAAGTCATCGGACCGCTCTTAGCGGGACTGCCACTTAATTCCCGACTCGGAGTTAAGTTTGTCCTAGAAACAACGTTAAAAACTTTAAAATTCCAATGAATTCTGTCGGGTTTGCAATGTTTTTGCCGGTTTTGCGAACAAATAAAATCCGAAAAAGGTTAAAAGGACAAGAATTCGTACATTATAAATCAGTGCTTTTTTATAGTTGAGAACGCTACTGGGCCGTCGCACAACCTGTCATTGACAGATAAACAAATAAGCAAACAAATAAACAAACAATACAAATACGTCTGCTATACCTTGGCAGTGTGTACCATTGCCTTCGAATCCATCGTTACAGGAGCAGTTGTAAGAGCCAACAGTATTTGTACAATTGGCATTTTCATGACAATCATTATCACCAGCACACTCGTCAATTTCTGCAAGAAAAAATATTTTAAAAATTGGAAACAGAAACCGTTAGACGTTCTAACTTACCAGCAGAGATAAGTGCCAAAGTCAGCTAACACTCGTCTGCATGTAGAAACTTTAGCGGGATCCGAAACCCGCGTTATCTATCCGCTGTACTGTCCGCATCCATTTATAACTTCAAAATAATAACTACATGTATAGACAATGGTTGGCTCGAAAGTTATACTGTTCATGATAACTAGACTATACGAAAGATAAGTGCCAAAGTCACCTAGTGCTCGCTTGCATGTATTTACTTTAACAGGTTTAAAAAGGAAAACGCATGCCATTGTCCTTTAACAGTACACCGTTTCTTTTGCGCTACCACTTACTTCAAACCGCAACCCGCGCTATTTTATCCGCACCAGTGCCACCCCGATTACAAGACTCAAATCACATGCAAGTCAAAGTTATACGTCGGTAAAAACATTCAAGTTTTTTTTTAATTTAAAAGAAAGAGATGGAAATCAAAATGTATGTTACTCATTAGTCACTCAACGCCGAGCGTTGATTTGCATTTATATATGAAACGTTGCACAATAATGGAAACGTTGCGTTATTACTCGTATCTAGAAAATTTTCACGCTAAAGCGAAACATATTGCGAAAATAATTATTAAATTTGAATATTTGGTCCTAGATTTGTAATACAATGTATCAATTTAAAAAAGACATCTGTACTTCACCTTCACAAAGTGATCCGTTGCCACTGAAACCTTCATAACAGGTACAGTTGTAACCTCCTCTTGTATTATTACACGTTGCGTTGCCATCACATTCATGCATAGCAGGTTCGCACTCATCGATATCTAAAATATTTCATTGCACGTTAATGTGAGTATATCGCAACCACATACAGCTAATTCAATTCAGGTTGTCCTCTGAAACCCGCAAAATGTTGGCCTCGATACGCGAAAAACACAACAAGCGTGCTATCAAGTGAATTGAATTCCTGAAGGGGTGGCGCATGTCCAACAAACATCGTTAAAAAGTTTAAATTCCAATACAATCTGTCGGGTTTGATCTTGAATTGCGTCAGACGAACAGATAAAATAGAAAACAAAAAGTCTTGTGGGGTATGGCAACCATAACTATAGCGAGTGTCGGACCATTAATTACATACTGTATGCGTGTCCATTGTGTTTTGCGTGCTTGCCGATACCTGTTTTGAGCTTTGCCTTTGAAATGTCACATCAGTTACATCAGGAATATAAAAACCTAATATACTTAATATTAATTTCCACTTACAGAGAAATATTTCGTCGTTGAAATATTTCTCTTGATTTCTTTTGAATTGTGACCATCCGAAGCGACATGCCTCTGGTGTAATGGCAATATTTAAGGGAGTGATATGGTTTCAAACACGTGGAAAGATGAGCTTTTCTTGAAAGTTATAACCTTTAAAGCATGTACTAACAATACTTTCAACAATCCTGCATTCATTTAGATAGTGATAGATACATCTGCTATACCTTGACAGTGTGTCCCATTTCCTGAAAAACCATCTTTACAAATGCACTCAAATGACCCAATTGTGTTGTTACAAAATGCATCTTCATGACAGGGATATAGAGTCACATTACATTCATTTTCATCTGCAATATATAACGATTGAGAAATGTTAGTTGGATACACTTACACGACAAACCTGGCAGTAATATTTTACGAGCAGTAAAGCAGGAGAAATCAACTGAACCCCCGGCAACTTAGGAAACAGTTTTTCCAAAAAAATGTCATGTTTCAGCAAGTTCAGAAAATCAGGAAATACTGTTTCCTTACAAAGATCACATTGAAAATATGACACAACATATTTTCTTTTTCCAACAGTGTTTCAAGGAAACAATGGATATTAGTATTTTGCACAAGTGAACATAACAAATCCTACAAGGTCAAATTTGACGTATTAATCTGTTATATTCACCTACAGATGAATATAACAAAATCGAAATTTAAAAAATGGCGGCTAGTCGTTTTGTTGAAGTTAGTGATACAGAAATAAGCGAAATTAAAATGAATTCAGACCAGAAAAACACAAAAAACTTGTGCAAAAATACTAAAACAATTATTCGCCTTAGGCCCTGTGATTATCGGGGAATATTCCCCTCGACTTCGTCTCGGCAAATATTCCCCGATAATTACCTCGCCTTCGGCGAATAATTGTTAAATACATCAAAACTTTGCAACGTTTCCAAAATATAAATGCTTTTTCATTCTCTACGAGCTTAAACCGTGATGCTTTGCGAACTAAAATGTCATGATTGTTTTGTATTCAGCCATTTTATTAGCCACTTTAGTGACAAAAGATTGACAACGGAAGTGTATTCTTATCAATCCGCATTATTCTTAGACGATGTCATATTTTTCATAGTTGGAATATGTTAATAGATCATTGAGTGATATTTTGGCGTGTGTTTTTATCTTAACCAATAATTTTAGAAAGTTTTCTCATTTCATATATTAGATGGCTAATCATGGCTTCTGTATTTACCGTTCGTGGAAGATCTATAGAGGGTATATCAAAACAAATATCGTTGACAAGTTGAACGAACGTCCTTTGGACGGAAAGAAAAAAGGCCTGGGAGTACGGGGCTTTCCCACAGCGAGTTCGCCAAAATCTTGCTCCATCATGACTGAGATTCTTTAAATATTGTAAAATTTAACATACTGACTAGATAAGTTTTCTGGACGTTTTGGCAGTGTAAACAAGGCAAAAAATATGGATAATAAAAAGGGTAGATATAAATGTACACATAATAACAAAATACTGTGCATACGTAAGTACCTTCACAAACACGTCCAGTCCCTACAAAACCTTCATTACATGTGCACACAGGAGTCCCAGTAATGTTGTTGCACACCGCATTTTCATCACATATGCTGTCATCCGTACAGTTAATGAACTCTATAAAAAATGAAACATCATGAATTTACGTGTAAAAATTGTCTACAGGCAAGCATATAAAACAATACAGCCTAACTATTCCGTGGCCACTAGTATAACAACAACACACATAATTAACTATGTTTCCCAAGATTAACATTTAGGTATATGCTACCACCAAATAGATTGGTATTCTGGTAGTCGCCCTTAACGTAATACAGTGTAAGCACATGCACTGGAACAGGTTTTTAATCATAGAAAAGAAAAGCGAATAACAATCAAAGAAACAGAAATGAAATTTGAGAAAACCTTTTTCACATTTGTTTTTGCAGCTTGCATGCTTAGAAGGTAAATATTTCATGACTAATTATTTCACTCAACCAAAAAGCAGATTTGTAGAAGTGCAACCAATCTAGGTCCATTAACCGTGAACCAATAAATGACTTAATCATAATCCAGGATAAGGAAAGACTAAAGAGATATTCTTACCTTCACATTCATCAAAACCATTGCCTCTAAAGTTGTCAATACAACGGCAAGTGAACGATCCAATAGTATTCTCACATGTAGCATTGTCATGACAACGACTTGGTTCACATTCATCAACATCTAGTATATATAGGGTTGATTTAATTTTCTAATAGTTACTGTTTCTCATTTCAAACTTTTGAAAAAAGAATTTTTACACTTTTTTTACAACTTTGAACATTCCATAACTCTTCTGCGTAGGCCTACACGTTTGTAAAATAAATAAATGTCCTACATGACAGTTCACACCAATTACAAGGGTTTGGAAGGAATAGTCTATTTTCATAAAAAATATTTCCTAATATAAATTATTTACTAGGAATCAATATAAAGTTACTAAATGAATCAAAACGTCCATACCATCACAATAGGTACCATTGCCAGTGAAACCCTCGAAACAGTCGCATTCATATGATCCAGGAATATCATTACATGTGGCATTCACGTGACACGGAGGAGGCTCATCATCACAGTCAATGATATCTAACACATGGGAATGAAAAAAATAAATCTGAGCGCGTCAGCAGGATGATCCTGGATACTAATTGCGCTTGGCTATATACACCCGGGTATATAAGAACATATAGCGAAGTGGAAAGTTATCCTTCATTATTCCGATGGATGATTTTGATGTTATAAGCATGCGTGAGTACAAGTTGCTACTCTGCAAAAAGCAGTTTTTCATTTCGCAAATGGGAGAGGGTTTGCTGCATGCATGTGTTTCTAGTGGTATCATAATTCACGGGAACGATTCGCAGAATAACTGCAATTTACTAAAAAGCCACTGAAGACTGAAATTTGTCAATACGGAGCAATCATATATTAACAATCTACATGGAATCCATTCACTGCATGCAAAGTTCCTCTTTAAAGAAACGAGATAGAACAAGTGCGAAAATACAACTGAATCACTGGCATTGTACGTTGATCAAACCATATATTGTGACATCAAAGCGTAATATATTGTGAAAAGGTCCTTAGTTATGATATTTAGAGGCCTTTTTTAAACAAAAAGTGTTCTAAATACCTGTGCAGTTCTTTCCATCCCCAGTAAAACCTTCGTAACATTCACAACTGTATGATCCATAAGTATTGTCACATGTAGCATTGTCATGACAGAAACCTCCAACCATACATTCATTAATATCTTAGAACATTAAAAAACACCCATAAAAATTTAGCCTAACTATGAAATTTGTACTATCGCCACGCCATACTTAAAGTCTGCTTCTGCGAACTGGCAAATATACAAAGGGCACGAGGGTTACTATATAGCTACTTGTTCAGATGTTTCTACGGTATCTTTATATGAAAGAGAAAAGCATTCATCATAAAGGTTGATATATTTATATGATAGTCTCTTGAATAAATGTGAATCCGAGAACTTAGAATAAGAAAATCTTGAGAAAATGTTTTATAGGCTGCTCATTTCAAAACATCTTTATACGAATTGTACTTCACTACAGGGCATGTCCTTTACTAGACACTTAGAAAAATCAGTTTATTCATGGATAACTATCTAGTAGAAACCAAGTTAGTTTAGTTTAAAAACGGCAGCGTATCGAAAGTTTTCATGTTGAAAAACGTTTCTCACAAAACTTCACACAAAATTCTCACACAAAACTTAGGGGAGAATCGCAAGGAATCATATTTATGGTAGCGTATCAATAATTTTTACATAAGATCAAGATTATCAAATGTTTTACAATATTGCAGATATGATGGTGTATTGAGGGATACACCTTTTTAAATGTGAATTGAAAAAGGTATATTTATAAAAAAATATCCATACCTTCACAATATGTTCCATTGCCAGTGAGACCTTCCGAACAGTTGCATTCATATGATCCAGGAATATCATTACATGTGGCATTCACGTGACACGGAGGGTCATTATCACAGTCAATAATATCTAAAACAAAAAATAATGTAATAGGTTCATAATTTACAGAACCGATTTGGATTCTTTTTTTCTCTTACATAATTTATATACAAACCAAGGTAGATGTTTTAAATTCAACTCTAGAAGTTATTTTCAATTTATTCAGGCTCTGTCTCACTACATGGACTAGAAATAGGAACAGTTCACCATTTTCATAATTATAATATGCACACTAATGGATACAGATATTGCACAGCACACTCCCTATCAGGGGTTTTCAGTGACTGGTTACATTGTGAATAGATAGAACCGGAACTAGCGTGAAGCAGACCGAGGGAGACTGTGAGCCAGGGCGCTTATATATAGGGCGGTGAAACGGCTATAGGCGCGCCGATCGATGTGTAATGCAATGAACTGGTAACGAGTTTGTTGTGGTTACTATGGCGACGTTGTCTTATGGCAAGGATAAATATGGCGGATTGGCGGGAAAACTGAGCTGGAAGTTTTGACTGTTTTGTAGTCAAGTTTTGATGAAGAAATAGATATTGGGGGTAAAATTCCGATGTTATACGATAATTTAGTAGATTCTGCTATTGTATTTTCAGGTAATACTGCCAATATTTTAGAGTTTTTGCTCAAAACGCTTGCGAAAGCTTACGAACGGTTGCTTTCGCATGAAGCATGACGTGAACGGTTTTTAAAACTCTTCGTATGTACACGTATCGTTCACGTTCGATAGAATACAATTCACAATTAATTTTAGCCACTAGTTGATCTTTTCAGTTGAAAATCAAGAAATGCTCAACTTCAATTTGTATTTTTTTAACGAATCCTTACGAGAAGTTGTCTTGGCCAGCCGGTCAAAAAAAATCAAAGTTGGGACGAAACAATTTTCGACTATTGCGCCAACAAACGTCCGAGCGAATCGTATTTTGATTCAAAGGCCAAGAAGTAAAATATGTTTACGGCTCAGAATTACTTCAATTGAATGCCTTAAAAGTCGTACAAAATTATTAACATAATAACAAAAAATCATGACACGGCCAAATACAATTGTTGTTTATTTTTTTGCAGCGAAATAATGGTCTAACGAGGCAAAATTTAACACACAAAAATACCTCACATTCCAACATTCCACTTGCTCAACTCCGAGTCTTATGAAAACGTTTGGAGATAAGCACATAATTATAATCTTTATCATCAACTGAATTTCGAAGTTTGGACGACTTGATAACATGCCCAAATGCTGTTTTGAAAATTTCCCTTCATTGAAGTCATCAAAAGCCCGACTCATTATCCTCAATATTTCTTTCAAAATTCAACTATACAGGCCAAACAAGCATTCGTACGATACACTAGTTACTACTTCGTCGTTACAGTGCAAAAACATCCTCAAGAATTTCGTAGTTAATGAAAAAACAGCGAAAATACAACAGCATGAAAAATCGCGCTCCTTGTCAACTTTTGCCGAAAAGCACGCTCGTGCCAGTCCTTTTCCGCATCACAAATCGATCAGCGCGACATCAGCGCGTTTCACCGCCCTATATATAAGCGCCCTGTTGTGAGCTTACAAATGGCGCTTTAAGCAGCCGCTATTAGTCCATACCTCATTAATGATCTATGTGTTTAACCCACCCTGTCAACTTTCCCTGTGGGAGGAGACCGGAGTACCCGGAGAAAACCCACGACTTTCGGCAGAGCGTTGACTTTTACTCTTTCCACATGAAGACTGGGTTCAAGTCACATTGAGATATTCTCACTGACATTTGAACCTGCGACCTTAGAGGTGAAAGGCAAGTGCGCTAAATATCAAGTAGAAAAAGCGATTAGTCGAACAAGCAGTCTCCTGGGATAAATTCCTAGCAGGTTTACTGCAAGAATGTAAGAATAAATTCTAATCACCTCCGCAAGGAGTTTGTTGTTTTTGTCAATTTGATTCTTTGCCAGCAGGACAATTCAGAACGGTTTAGCAAACAAAATGTGTGGAGGTAATGGTCACGCGCCAAGGATAAATTCATCAAATTTTGTAGAATTTAGATGAAAATTAAATGAGACATTTATCACTTTCATTGGTGTAGGATGTCATTTTCAGAATACATCCTTGTCGTTGTCTATTATTCGAGTGTCTCTGCAGAATGCTTGAGTGTCTCTGCAGAATGCTGTCTATAGTTAATGAACTTTAAGAACTCTACTGTGCTGTGTTTTGAAGTGTTTACCTTGACAGATGGTTCCATTAAGAAAATATCCTTCATAGCACATGCATTCAAAGCTACTAGGCGTGTTTGAACACGTGGACAACATTTCTGGGCAGTATGTTCCCACACAACATTCATCATAATCTGAAAAGACAAGAGAAGAATGAAAACCTTTGCAATACCACAGTTAATATACATGCATGGTCAGAAAATTTATGAAGTTTCTTCGTCCTTATTGTTATATTTCATGTAGACGGATCATGTTTGATAAAAACTATAGTGTTGCTAGTGCTTGATATGCATTTCTTAAAGTGGTGATGCGCAGGTACTGGGCATGAAGTGTTTGTTATTCATCAATGTGTTGATCAACAGGCCCACAAATACCAATGTAGGCGACACACAGAGCAACCTTGTCCCATCAGTATTCAAAGTCACTCAAATACAAGTATATTTTAGTGCAGTAATTGCAATGGCAGCTAGCTACTCACCAAATGTGATTGGATTAATATGATTGGACAACTTTTTTGTATAATCTTATTGATTTTCCCTCAAATACACGAATATTTTAGTGTAATTGCAACAGCAGGTACTCACCAAATGCTACAATTAATCTTCGTGACCCATCATTAATATTGAAAACATTTATCTTTACCCAGGTGCGTTTGTTATATTTGTCAATTCTATTATTTTCTTTGTCCAACACATACAGATGCATGTAGTCTTGCGCCAGATCAATTTCTCCATCATAACTGATATTAAGAGGCACTGTTTGACCAGTGTAATTTGATCTCATCAAATAGTGTTTGTCTGTGGAATCGACGAAATCGACCCAGTACACGACTTCATTATCTTGATCAACGGACAATGCTTGAGCGGAACCATCAAAATTTATTCCTTGCGTCTCAAATGATATAATATCAAGTCTAACAATAGGAGGATCCGATGATTTTGCAATTACTAGGTACCTATAAAGATTTCAAAATAAAGTAATCAAGCCAATGTGCCAAGAAACGTTTCTAAAGCATTCGTTAATATATATAGAACGTTTCGTATGTGCTGACAACATTTTAAAATTCAAGCATTTTCTTCACGTACAGTACGGTCTAAATGACAAATACACTCAGCCTCATGCAGGGAAATACATAAAAAGAACATAAACTTGTCATGTAAAAATTTGACTTGGAGATAGGACGTAATAATTGCATGTGTATGTATTTTGTACAATTCTCCATTCGCAGTTCGATAAAATACTGATCGTTTCTATAGCTGCGAATTGAGAGAGATGCAACTACTTGAAAAATAGAAACTTCATCGTTTTAAGCGACGGTCCTTCGTTGAAGTTGACGGTCCTTCGTTATATTTGTCAGGTAGTTGCATTTTTTCTCATTCCACAGGTGTCCTGAGTGTTTCGTTTCCATAAAAGTGATTGCTACACTACTGTATATTATGCAATTGAAATTTACAATCGGAAGCGCATTTCTGATGGCAATCTCACATAAAAACCCAATCTATTAATCAAAACATAAGGCTACTTCTACTTTCTTTAATGAATACTGAAAACATTCAGGTAAGCTTGAAGGGTCCTCTATAAACCGAACACATCTCTAAAGCCAGTTTTCCACTGCGACCGTATCGTAACGTATCGTAGCATTTTGTTTTGTGTCGAAGCAATGTAAACATAAGCATTTATATTAGTTGGCTCAGGAAACAAAGAAACACGCTACGCTACGCTACGAAACGATTGAAGTAGAAAACTGGCTTAACGCGGCAATTTTGTGGGTCCGTATTACGGAGTTTCAAATGTATATAGCAATAAATAGTGAACAAATAGTGAACAATTACCGATTTTTTGTGTCCATCTCCATGCCTTTTACACCAGAAACAGAATCCAAAGCTAAAACTGGGGTATCTTCTCCACTGCTAATATTGACTGAGTTGATTTGTGATGTAAATTTATTTAGGTAGTATAGAACACCACGTTCACCATCATATGCAAACTCTGCAATATTTGCTTTATTGATTAGAACTGTTGAATTCAAACCATTCAAACCAACACTGTACAGGTTGTCAGTAGCATCATAATACAACAACCGTCGGTTGTATTTGTCATATCCTAATATATTATTATCTGCAGTAGGAATGCTAACTGAGGAATTTGATATGATCCATGATGATGTAGAGTAGAATAGTATTTCATCTTCACAGGTTTCTAAAAACACGATATAATTAAATTAAATTAAATTCTCGTAGTTTAGTTAGTTGGCTATGATTACGTGATATGGATAGGAAATACCATTTTGTATTACGTTTTGCTGAGGGTCTGCAAACGGAATTTCAAGCATAGTATCGAACTGTGGCTGGGCGATTCCGCTGCAGCCCTATATAACAAACTGAGTCCAATTGTCGATTTCTAACCACAAGTTCGTATATATAGCTATACTAGAAAATACATGCATGCAGAAACCCTCGCCTTGCTGACAAAACCATTGTATTTTCCAAACATGAAGTATCCAAAGTTGTTGTCATGGTAATAACACGATAATTTTTTAAGAATATTCTTACAAATGAAAAATTGCCTAAAAATATCAATTTTAATTACAAAATTATCAATTTCCCAACATATATTTGTTAGGTATGTTATTATACGTAATATAAGCTTCAATTTAAGGTAAAATTCAACCACAAAAGCTTCGCAAAACGTTTTAAAACGTTCTTTATAAAACTAAATTGCCTGGCTTTAATTAAATGGCTTTATCGATAAACTTTGAGTTTGCAACAAAATGATTTCAAATTCTCGCATGCAAATAACTTTGCTTTCTTTTTAGTAAAAAAAAATCAATATAATAAAAAAGGAATCAATATTAATAATACACTGAATTGACTGAAATTATATGCTGTCTTGTTTAGTTATTTCATATACGCAAAGGGCCAAAGGCCGTCGGGTTTTAAAGCAATTATAAAATCAATATTTAACACAAACTTACCTTCGTTAACGTCGGATCCCTTCTTTTAGCCGATTCTTTCGCCGTTTCTATCTTGAAATTTACAAAATCTTGCAAAAATGCGAGTAAAATTGAAGTATATTTGCAAGAAATTTATCAATCATCAAATCTGTGATCAAATCAAGAAATGTTTGCTATTTCGCTGTCGTCATACAGTCGTTATGATGCAAACTTTAAATTGGACCAATTAGTGTCCGCTATTCATGACAGTCCGCCATATTTTTGAGGTCAGTGAGGATGACCACCCACTCAACACCGTTGGTCACCCACGCCCGCGATACTTGATGAACTTTAGACTCCGCTAATGCTTTCGTTTCCCCGGGTGTAAATAGCCGGGGGGAATTAGTACCCTCGCACGGCGCTTCGCGCCGTCGGCTCGGGGACTAAAAGGTATTTTGGTAAATATCAGAACTTTTTTGGACATCTCACACGATTGAGCTTAAGTTGAAAGATTATGTTGATGGAAGATCATCTACAAAACCCTTCAACATAGTTCCATTAACTGAGGTGCCAAAAAATCCTGATATTTACAGATAGAATATTCGTCATTGGATATTATAATTCTAGAGAACATCGTATCGCATGCAGGTTACTTCATTACCTGTGCAGTTGAGTCCATTTCCAACAAAGCCAGATCTACAGGTGCAATAAAATGAACCCTGAGAGTTTACACAGTCTGCGTTTGGATCACAGTAACCACGATCACATTCGTTGATATCTAGTAAAGTATTCAAACAAAAAATTAAAATCTGAAACCTAAATTAGTTCATGACACAATAATTTATGAAAGGAGTTTCCTGTTTGACCTGACGACACACCACTGACATTAGTGAACGGTAAAAGACTAGGCCACCAGGTTTTTTTCTGGAGCTACGGAAAGGAGTTTTTTCACGGTAGTGGTATTATAGTCGAGCCTTATGGTGGACCATATCGAGGCGAATTTCATCTGACTTGTATTTTTCACTCAACACAAACATATGTACAATGTAAATGATCAATAACATCCCCGTTTAAAATTACAATCTGCACTTTAGGAATTCATTTGCACGTGTCGCACCAAAGTACTTGCTAAAAGCCAAAATAGTTTACTTCGGCTTTCTTGAAATATATTCGAAAATTCAGGATTCGATCACCTTGTGTAAATCAGAATTCGACTTCGACTAAAGTTGGTTAAAATGGACAATATAAAGTAGCCTAATAAGGTATAGAAGTTTGTGGAAAACTGAAAAAAAAACTCTTTGATACCGCAGATGGGAAAGTTCTCGTGTGTTAGTATATACAAGCAAAGGCCAGGAACTTTGTTATACACAGATTGTTTTGCAAAAATATATTGTGACCACTTAATTTTTCTATTACTAAAAACCACCATGTTGCATGATTGTATTAACCACAATTTCAGTTCAATTTCGACAAACATGGCGTCCATATAATATTGACAACATTCTGACAACTAAAGCCCCGTTTATACTACGCTCAATTTTTGGTACGGCACGGATAAAATTGGTACCCGTACCACTTTTTTGGTTCTTGGACTACCTATTTAGCTAAGCCCCGTTTACACTGCGCTCAATTTTTGGTACCGTACCACTTTTTGGTTCTTGGACTACCTAAATAGGTAGGACTCATCGGCTTTATCCGAGCCGTACCAAAAATTGAGCGTAGTGTAAACGGGGCTTAAATGATTGATTCTATCCGGACTGTTCGAATTGAATAAATTAATGATATTATTTTAACATGCATGCGGTACATACCTTCGCAATCATCTCCACTTGGCTCAAAGCCTTCATTACAAGTACAGACAAAGCTTCCAGGTGTGTCCGAACACGTGGCATTCATGTGACATGTGTTATTAGAGCAGCATTCATCAATATCTGAAATTTAATATTAAAATTCGAAATTGCATTTTTCGAAAAAGTTCATGGTAAGCGCGACAAGATGTATGACGGACATGCAGGTATCGGAAATACAGACGTTTGGCCGGTAAAACATTTCGTCCTGCTGCAGATTAGTTGACATGGCAGTTCACTTACTGCAGGCGAAGCAGAAGGAACAAATTTGGGAAAATCATTCGCTAATACATGACCTACATGCACGACTCAAAAAAACTATTAGGTAAGCAAACCTGAGCGGTCCGTGCTGTTGGTTTCCGACCGCTCAGGAACCATTCAAAATGCTCCATTTGTTGATGACCGCCATATAATAAGGACTTTTTTTGGCCTACAAAGTTGAGATGATATAGCCAAGAGTTTGAAACAAAAAAATTAAAAATAAACTTAAAATAGGGAAAGAAGTGACTGATGCGTGGTTAAATATAAATTTTCTCAATATTTACAATGTTGACAAAGTTCTTTCAAGAATATCAGTTGTGGTTTGAACATGCGAAGAGCTGTGAATTCTATATGCAGTTGACGATGAGTAATCTGAACAAAAACATAATTAAAGCAGGAACAGATAATTCTTTTCGAAAATGTCTGTTTTAAATTGTGAGTAAAAGGGAAGCGAACTAAAACATACATGTCGAATATCGGTGTTGTTTATTCATTTAAATTATTATTTTGTTTTTTTTTTATATATTTTTTGTCTTCGATTAAATCACTACATACATCGTCATTTTCTTGAAATACTATCCAAAGTTCTGTTACATTCCATAAAAATTGCTGTATATTAGTTTTAATTTGCCAACCAGGAGATTTAATTGAAATTTGTAAATGTTTCGGAATGTGTACTTTCCTTTGCTTGACCATGTTTTTCGTATTCAGTTACAAACATACAATGCCATGTAATGAAAAAAATGCATTGATCTCGACCATTTGGAGTGCATGGGAAAAAATCAAACTTGGGTTTAAGTCAATACAACAGAAAGACGTCGGCTTGGTATTTTCCCGTACAGCCCTCACTCTCAATCAGCAAGTTATTTATATGCACGGGGTCAAATATTCGTTTTGGTAAACAACTTGACAACATTTAGCAACCAAAGTATTATCTGAGCTTGCAAAAAAGTGACTTAACGGTATTTTTTTATTGTACTTCTCTAATTTACTTACCAAATGCCAGGATCAACTCACAGACACCAGGCGGTACGGACAGTTCTCGGAGCTTCGTCAATGTTCTTTTGGAATAAATATCAATTCGGTTGTTGTCTTTATCCAATATATAAATGTGTAATCGGTCTACCACTACGCGAATTTCTCCATTGTACCAGATCCCAAGGCTACTTGTTACTCCTGCTTTAGACGTGGATAGAACTGTAAAGCGGTTAGTGGAGGGATCGTAGATGACCCAGTATATAGTCCCATCCTCAAAGACATAGAGCGATTGTCCAGAACCACCATCATAACTAATGACGCGAACTGATGAGCTTTCACCAAGATCATACAGAACAATTGATAAATTGGATGCAGTTACGATAACAAGACAGCTGAAAAAATGTACAGAGCTCATTAATGAATACTATTTGGGTATCGAGATGTTTAACCTGCTTAAAGGACAATGGCAACAAAATATTTTATTGTTTTATTTGAAAGAACGTTTAAAATAATCTCTAAAATCTTGTTATAGATGTTTCATATCTTGCTTGATTTTTGAAATATTTTGACTGAAACATAAATTTCCCCCCCCCGCGACTCTAGCTCTTATTTAGAGAAACAAAAATAGATAATGGGGACCAATAAACAATTCCATTATAGGATAATTTTTTTCTTAGCAAAAAAAGTATTTTCCCGGGAAGAGCATACTAAAATGAGTAAAATTGCAAAGTTTGCTTGCGAAATGTTGTAAAATGTAGAAAATATAGCCTTCCAAAATTTGCAAATTTTGCATACTTTTGTTTACTTTTGTATTGCGTGCGACCGGTAGCAATTTCCGCATGCAATACGAAAGTATATAAAATTTGCAAACTTTGCAAGACTATATTTTCCATATTTTACGATAGTTTGCAACCAAGCTTTACAATGTTACTCATTTTAGTATGCTTTTTCTAACTGTGGTGATTTATTTGCATCTCTATGCCTATAGTTTCAAAATTAGTCTATAATAGGAATTGTCTATTTACCGGCATGAACAAAAGAGACTATTTATTTGACTTCCATTTATGAATATTAATGGCATTGTTATTTGCTGTTAAGTTGTTTTGTGATACTTTTTAAAACTACTAATGTTTTTTTCAAACTAGTAAATCTTTTTAAAGCACCCCCCCTTCTTTCGTCTATCTGTATTTTTTCAAAGCCCCCCCCCACTTTTAGGTTTAAAAAAATTTAAAGCCCCCCAGTTTCTCCTCAATCCCCCCTTGTACAATAAATAATGAGCAGTCCCTAACTTAATCATTCCTAAGGTGCAACCCAAAGACTGACCGTCGATTGTCTCAGGGACAGGTGAATGAATTGAAGGATTTCCTATGAAGGCAACCCCTGTATTATTTCACTCATATAATATGTTCTACTGTTATCATCCCTATCACTCTTATGTACTTACTCATTCAATACATCAATGTCAAGATCTTTAATGTTGGAAATATGAGCCAAAGCACCAATTTCATTATCCTGCATATTTGTCAGGTTTAACATATGAATAGCATCTCTCGCATCATGAATATAATATATAATATTACGACGACCATCATAGGTAAACCGTCGAATATGCTCCTCGTCTCTTGCCAAGGTTGTTATATTTGAGCCATCCAAAGTTACTCTGGAAAACGTTGCGCCTGATGCATACATTAAAATTTGACGATTATGTTTGTCGTAGACCAGTTGAGAATCAGGAGATCTCAAGAAAAAGTTTGATGAAAGATCACCGGCCTTGGTGTTGTAAGAATTGATTGTAGAACTGTTAGCATAATAGAGAATTGGTACTTGACAAAGGTCTGAAGAAAAAGAAAACAATTTTGTATTAAAGTACATGAGTCTTGGTAGAAGGAACTTCGTATGCAAATGTATATACATTTTTAGATCTAACCAGGGTACATTCTGGCAGGAATAGAACCTGGGGGGTTATATCACTCCGGCGCACTGCTCTAGCCAAATTGCTGAGCACTAACCACAAAGTCATGTACATATAATTGAGCGATGTCAGCACAAGGTACATATCGGGCAAACATCGAGATTTTGCAATTTCGTTTGATGAAACTAATAATATAAATTCTGCTTATAATAGACCATTTGTAATTGGTTCTATCGAACCAGATCCCCAAAATGTCAATTTTGCATAAATGCACAAACCCATCCAAGAAATAATTATGCTCCCATTCTCGTCCGTGGCGGATAATTTTGTTATACCTGTATGGATTAAAACAAAGAGATATCAAGAGAAAGACAACTTTTTACCTTCAAGTTCACATCTGTCACCTAAGAAACCGAATGGGCAAGTACACTCAAATGTTGTATTATCAATATTTCTGCAAGACCCACCATTGAAACATGGAGCACTGGCACATGGGGTACCTATGAAAGTTAGTATAAATGAAAGTTAGTAACGAGAACCGCCAATCACAAGTTAATCAGATAAAGCGCTTACAACATTACAATGTTCAGGTTTGCACAAACAAAGGAGTATTTAAAAAAAAATCAACTAAAAAGGATGCATGTAACTAAACTTGAACTCACATTACAAGTACCAATATCAGTAATAGTATTAAACGGCAACAGTAACAACAAAATCAGCAGCAACAGCACCGTACTATTAGCAGCCTAGTACCACTAATAGCAACAGTAACAGTACCAGTAACAGCACATGCGCCAATTCTAGTAGTTTCAGTAACCGAAACATTAGAGAGTTTAAGTTCGACTTCTGATACCAATACCAATACTAACAACAGGTCATGCGCATGCGCTCTGCTCACAAGAACCACGAGTACAAGTGTAATGGAAGTCACCACTACCGAAGTCGGCCTTGTTTTGGAAGTTGTGGGAATTGTAAGATAAAACTCATTTAAATCGGATATTTCATAATTCTTACGACAAACACGTAAACTATATTTGTTCATTAGCATCGCCTGAGTCATGTTTTAGTCCGAATTTTAGCTTAGCTGCCGTTTAGTATGCCGCACATTTTCGGTGACGATTAATATGTTCTATACTCTATATGTCGTGATAACTTAATGCTTTAAAATTCCCGGTACCAAAATGAGAACGGAAGTGAAGACATCAATATCGGTATTGGTATCGGAAGTCGAACTTAAACTCGCTAATATTAGTACCAGGACTTCTGCCAGTAACTGTAACTGTAACACTAATAGTACCAGAAGGTGTACATATCAGTTCCAGCACCGAAAACGGTAATATTACCAATTACCAACAACAGCAATGGTTCAAGTAACAACACTGGTACCAGTACCAGTAACAACACTAGTACCAGTAAAGTATTAGTGACAGTAGCAGCATAACAGCAACAGTAGAAGTAACTGTAACAGGAATAGTACCAGAAGGTGCACATTTATCAGTTCCAGCACCAGAAAGAGTAATATTACCAACAACAGCAATGGTTCAAGTAACAACACTGGTACCAGTACCATTAACAACACTAGTACCAGTAAAGTATTAGAGACAGTAGCAGAACAGCAACAGTAGAAGTAACGGTAGCAGTAACAGTAACAGTAGCAGTAACAGTAGAGGAGCAGTAACAGTAGCAATAACAGTAACAGTAGAGTAGCAATAACAGTAACAGTAACAGTAGAGTAACAGTAACAGTAACAGTAACAGTAGAGTAGAGTAGTAGTAGCAGTGACAGTAGCCGCAACAGTAACAGTAACAGTAGAGTAGCAGTAACAGTAGCCGCAACAGCAACAGCAACAGTAACAGTAGAGTAGCAGTAACAGTAACAGTAGCAGTAACAGTAGAGTAGCAGTAATAGTAGTAGTAACAGTAGAGTAACAGTGACAGTAGCAATAACAGTAGAGTAGCAGTAAGAGTAACAGTAGCAGTGACAGTAGAGTAGCAGTAATAGTAGTAGTAACAGTAGAGTAACAGTGACAGTAGCAATAACAGTAGAGTAGCAGTAACAGTAGCCGTAATGGTGCAGTAACAGTAGCCGTAACAGTAGCAGTAACAGTGACAGTAGAGTAGTAGTAACAGTAGCAGAAACAGTACCAGTAACAGTAGCCGTAACAGTAGCAGTAACAGTAACAGTAGCAATAACAGTAACAGTAGCCGTAACAGTAGCAGCAACAGTAACAGTGGCAATAACAGTAAAAGTAACAGTAACAGTAGCAATAACAGTAACAGTAGCAATAACAGTAACAGTAACAGTAACAATGGCAATAACAGTAACCGTAACAGTAGCCGTAACAGTGGCCGTAACAGTAGCCGTAACAGTAGCAGTAACAGTAGCACTAACAGTAACAGTAGCAGTAACAGTAACAGTAAAAGTAGCAGCAACAGCAACAGCAGCAGCAGCAGTAACATTAACAGTAACAGTATTCGTAACAGTACCAGTAACAGTAGCCGTAACAGTAGCAGTAACAGTAACAGTGGCAATAACAGTAAAAGTAGAGTAGTAGTAACAGTAGCAATAACAGTAACAGTAACAGTAACAGCGGCAATAACAGTAACAGTAGCCGTAACAGTAGCCGTAACAGTAGCAGTAACAGTAGCAGTAACAGTAACAGTAACAGTAACAGTAACAGTAACAGTAACAGTAACAGTAGCAGTAACAGTAACAGCAACAGCAACAGCAGCAGTAACATTAACATTAACATTAACAGTGGCAGTAACAGTAACAGTAACAGTAGCAGTAGCAGCAACAGCAGCAGCAGTAACATTAACATTAACATTAACATTAACATTAACAGTAGCAGCAGCAGCAGTAGTAGTAGCAGTATCAGTATGAGTAACATTTAACAGCAACAGTAGCAGTATACATAACAGTAACAGCAACAATAACAGCAAAATAATAGGAAAAGTTAGACGAAGAAATAACAGAAAGACGAAGAGTAAAAGTAACAGTAATACAATAATAGCTAGAGTAATGATAAGTGACGCACTGGTAAAAACAAGAGTTATAATAACGGTAGAGTAGCAGTAAGAGTAACAGTAGCAGTGACAGTAGAGTAGCAGTAATAGTAGTAGTAACAGTAGAGTAACAGTGACAGTAGCAATAACAGTAGAGTAGCAGTAACAGTAGCCGTAATGGTGCAGTAACAGTAGCCGTAACAGTAGCAGTAACAGTGACAGTAGAGTAGTAGTAACAGTAGCAGAAACAGTACCAGTAACAGTAGCCGCAACAGTAGCAGTAACAGTGACAGTAGAGTAGTAGTAACAGTAGCAGAAACAGTACCAGTAACAGTAGCCGTAACAGTAGCAGTAACAGTAACAGTAGCAATAACAGTAACAGTAGCCGTAACAGTAGCAGTAACAGTAACAGTAGCAATAACAGTAACAGTAGCCGTAACAGTAGCAGTAACAGTAACAGTGGCAATAACAGTAAAAGTAACAGTAACAGTAGCAATAACAGTAACAGTAACAATAACAGTAACAGTAACAGTAACAGTGGCAATAACAGTAACCGTAACAGTAGCCGTAACAGTGGCCGTAACAGTAGCCGTAACAGTAGCAGTAACAGTAGCATTAACAGTAACAGTAGCAGTAACAGTAACAGTAACAGTAAAAGTAGCAGCAACAGCAACAGCAGCAGTAACATTAACAGTAACAGTATTCGTAACAGTACCAGTAACAGTAGCCGTAACAGTAGCAGTAACAGTAACAGTGGCAATAACAGTAAAAGTAGAGTAGTAGTAACAGTAGCAATAACAGTAACAGTAACAGCGGCAATAACAGTAACAGTAGCCGTAACAGTAGCCGTAACAGTGGCCGTAACAGTGGCCGTAACAGTAGCCGTAACAGTAGCAGTAACAGTAGCAGTAACAGTAACAGTAACAGTAACAGTAACAGTAACAGTAACAGTAGCAGTAACAGTAACAGTAACAGTAGCAGCAACAGCAACAGCAACAGCAACAGTAACATTAACATTAACATTAACATTAACAGTGGCAGTAACAGTAACAGTAACAGTGGCAGTAGCAGCAACAGCAGCAGCAGTAACATTAACATTAACATTAACATTAACAGTAGCAGCAGCAGCAGCAGCAGCAGCAGCAGCAGCAGCAGCAGCAGCAGTAGTAGTAGTAGCAGTATCAGTATGAGTAACATTTAACAGCAACAGTAGCAGTATACATAACAGTAACAGCAACAATAACAGCAAAATAATACGAAAAGTTAGACGAAGAAATAACAGAAAGACGAAGAGTAAAAGTAACAGTAATACAATAATAGCTAGAGTAATGATAAGTGACGCACTGGTAAAAACAAGAGTTATAATAACGGTTACACCAATTTTATAGTAACAATATAATATATAATCAACCTTAAAAGTGGCCAAGAGTTCCAAAGCTTTGCTAATTTAATGGACGCTGTTTGAAAAATCAGATATTATTATATTATAATATATGGACACTTACGACAAACTGCAAATTCGTCCAATGACTGCCATTGTATGTCAACAGAGGAAGAACAATCATCAGCATAAGCCGCGAGAGCTTGACAATAACAAACAACAGGGTCATCCTCGCAAGCACACATATCATATTCACAATCAGCAATATATCCTTCTTCAGTGGCATTAATATGACTTGAACACTCATTGAAAGGAGGTCTGAGTAACGTTGAACAGTTGGCTTGTGCTATCCATCTTCTGTCTGAGTTGACAACACAGGGATGTTCTACTGCAATTGCATCATCACAGTCTGGATCAACTTTCCAAGAATTTCCAAATTCTACTGGATCAGTTACAGTTGTACCATTAGATGCCCAGAAGTCGTCTTCTTCTATGTCATTATATGTACCACATAAACCTGATGTTCTGTTTAAGTACCGACCTCGAACTGTCACTCGTACGTTATAAACATTGTTCCAGTGGACAGTTACACCATAGACGGTTGTTACTATTGTATTTTCTGCATTTTCATTTTTATGTTCAGTGATGTTGACACCTTGTAAGAAATCAAAAGGTTTGTAATTTTATTGTACATTATATTATGTTACTACAGTCATAGCCTCGTCCGGTTGTGTAATATTAACATCTGCGTAATATAGTGAAATATAACAGAAATCATACTGATGCTGTACTAAGATCATTCTGCCACGCCATGTCATGTCACGTCATATCATACATGACGTTACGTGTCGTAAAATGTTTTGTTTGGTTGGATTTGCGTTGTTCTATTTTGTTGTGTTGTGTTATGTTGTGCTGCCGTGTTGTTTTGTGTTGTGTTGTAGCGTTGTATATGTATATTTATGGTGTAGCATAGCGTAGTGTAGAATGGTGTGTTGTGTAATTTTGCATGTGTATTACAGTGCAGTTTTGCACACATGTAAGAATCTACTTGTTTTAATGAAACGTAGCACTTAAAGTTCAATGTTTTCCTACCTCCATAACTAGCTGGCAACATAACTTCTCCACCATTGACCAAAGTCATTCCTCTTCGTAGTTCAATTGTCATATTTGGGAAGATCACTGTTAATGATCTTGTACATGCATGTACTCCATTTCCACATGGTTCATTTGTTTGTCTTATTTCAAATGTGTTGTTTACACGATCTCTAGCCAGAACATATTCACATCTACCCATAAAGTCGTAACGTCTTCCATCAAATGTCGTATAATGTGGATCTCCCCGAGCCTTACATGTCGCTTCAACTAGAGCAAATGGAAATGCCTTAAAAATACATTCACTAATTCACCATGAGAAATTTGAAATGGTTATCCAAACAGTCATCAAAGAAAAATTAAAAACAATAATAAGTACGTTACAGTAACGTTACTTCAGAGTAGTTACATTTGTTACATACGAACCATGTATTACTACATGTTATCAAAATGTTTGCATTTCGTTACTGTAATATTAATAAAATAATATAAATCACTATACTCTCCAAACAAAGTGGAGATTTTTCACCATAAGAAATAACATTAGATACACCAGCGCCCACAAAATATTTACAAAAACATGGAAATTCGGGCTAACACTGGGGATAATATTAAACAATTCAGGCAAGTTTATAACAAAATATAAATTCAATGCAATCATCGATACAAATTCTAGAAAATGTTAGATTGCACCCCCCCCCCCCCGGCAGAAAAGATCAGCCCCATATGCTTCTGTTGGCAAAGGCAGGTCACGTTGTCATATAAATTCTAAAGCCTCAGGTTTCCATATGGTCGTAACGATTGAGTAACGAAATACAACATTTTAGAATTGAAGATACACGGAGTAATTAAAACTAGAGAATACTTAAGATTTACATGTGGTTTAAAGGAATACACTATTCCAAAATGGCGGTTGAGAAAGATCTTTATACGAACATCACGACCATATGGAAACCTACAGTCAGAAAAACACTCAAAAGAGACCTTTGAGGTTTAAGCACATTAACTAACTTTTATCTTCACAGTTTTCTCCCTCATAATCAGAATGACAAACACATTCATATGTATCGCCAACTTCAACACAAATTTCGTTTTCGCCACAAGATAGATCATCACAATTGGTAACTAAAAAGTAAATGGTGAGAATGCGTTCGCTTTTCATATAAGAAGCAATATGAATAATTTACGCAGTCGCTGACGGAAGAATTCTTATTATTATATTAGTTTATTGTTGTAGCTGTAGCTTATTATATTAAAATTTCGAAAGTATATATACATATATATATA